GTGAATTGACAAATCACGAGGCTGAAGTCGAACTTCGCGACAGTAAGACCGATTATCCCGAGTATTATCGAGAGATGGCGAGTTCGATCCAACCAGAAACAGCTCACTGTTCTCCCGAGGATTTGCTCTCTCCTGCGGGATTAAAGGACGCGAAACCGATCGATCCACCAGTGCAATCAATCGGCGTTTTATCCTTCTTCGATGGGGGATGGACGCATCGGAAGTGGTAAATAATCGACGCCGAATTCGAGAGAACAGTTAGTTTCGAACTTGAAATCGAAGCGTTTCGCGTTCTCCCTTATTTGTTCGCGGCTTTGTTCGTTCCGAGGCGTGATTCACAGTTCGTTCGAGTGTTCCACTGGAACGTTATCGTTTTCGATTATTTAGCAATGTTGACGATTCTCGTTCGAGAGTTCGCGTGTTCTTCTCCGAGCAGCGATCATCGAGCGATGTGTTGCAAATTTTTCAAGTATACGAACGCGAGTTTTAATATTACGTTTCCGATTTCTTTCGAAGTGAAAAATGTTATTGTGAAAATGAAATTGCTCCCCAAGTTTTGAAGACTCACTTATTCCTGTTCGAAGTAGAAAGTTCCCATTAATTGTTTTGTTATAATAAAATAATTAAGTTATTATTCTATAAATTTATTATATTTATATTTAATTTATTATATTATAATTTATTATAATAAAATAATTAAGTTTAATTCAGTTATTATATAAATGTCGTGCATGCAGATTTTCACTATCATAGAAACTGTTTAAAGGACAATATATATCTTAAATTATTGTACTGTTGTAAATTTTTTTCGGCGAGATGATTATTGAGCGAGCGATTGCAATCTTTTTGAAGTATATAGGACTTGTAATCTGATTTTTTTTTCGATTTCCTTTGAAATGAATTAGAAAATGAAATTATCCTCCAAGCTCTTACTTATTTCTATTCGAAGTAAAAAATTCCCATTGTTCAATTATTCACTGATTTACAATCATTCGAAATGTGATGTAAAAGGACAAAAATATTATTAACAATGGTATGAGATTAATTATACCTGTATTAATATAAATTAATCGTCTATTAGTTTGAGTAAATCAGGTTAGTTAGATAAAAAAGACCAGAAGATACAAATCTATTAATGACTAATTATTATGTAGTATCTACCATATAATTCTGATTTTGTTATTAATAATATTCCTATTAATATAATTCCTATATGAACAATAGATGAGATTGCAGTGATTAATTTTATATTTATTTGGCATATGCATATAATACTTAACATTATTATACCAAATAGATTGATTACTATAAAATAAATATAAAATTTATTAAATATAGTTTTTATTATATATATATAATTCGTAAGATTCCATATCTTTCTAACTTAAGTATTACAGATGCCAGAATTATTGATCTAAAAAATGATGCTTCGACATGAGCTTTTAATAACCATCCATCGTATATATAGGAATTCTGACTATAAAAGATATAATGAAATAAATAAATTTAAAATTATTAATTTGAACAATGTTTGTTATTTCAAGAATATAAAAATTTATTGTATTAAACAATATTAAAATATTAAATAATAAATGTAGTAAAGGAATAGAAAATACTAAAGTACAAAATATTAAATGAAATGAAGAATTAAAACGAAATTCACCATATCCTCATTTCATAATTATATAAAAAATCAATAATAGACTAGATTCAAATATAAAGTAAAAAACCAATAAATTTATTGAAAAAAAACCAAGTATATTAATGCCATCAGAGCCATATTTATTAAATTACAGTATTTTTTATATTCGATCATATTAGAATTTAAGATAATAATTGAGAAGATTCATATTATTATAACAATCAATCCATTTGAGTAAAAGTTAATTCTTCAGTTCATTCAATTAAATTTTAATAGGAGAGTGACTGTTAGGAAAAAAATTGTATTCCTTAGAATAACAGAATCAAATATGAATGGTATTATGATTATATAGAATATAGACAATAGTCATGTATATTAATTACATCAATAAGTTTAAAAATAAGATTTTTTGATGTCTAAAAGGATTTCGAAGATTTTCATTATTATAGAAATAGCTTAAAGCGAGAGTGACACAATGTATCTTAACTTATTGTACTATCAATATATTCAGTTTTGATACTAGAACTACCAGAGTACTCAAAATAAGCAATACGTAACTTTTCACAAAAATTTTCGAAATTTATGACGATCAGTTCATACAGATGTAAAATACATAAGCAAAAATTTATTGTATTAAACAATATTAAAATATTAAATGATAAATATAGTAAAGGAATAGAAAATACTAAAGTACAAAATATTAAATAAAATGAAGAATTAAAACGAAATTCACCATATCCATTTATTCATATATTTATATATACAGAGTGTTCCAAGTGTTCCACGTTTCAATCATCTCCTAAACTATTGGTTATAAAAAGATCTTTCAAGCGAAACTTACTCGAGAAAAATATCTTTTGGTGATAAAGAACCTTGACCTAGGTGAATTAAATAATAATCTTCGAGTTGATCTTTGTTTTCTTTTTTTTTTTTTTTTTTTTTAATAAAACTGTGTATTTTTTCAGATTTATCTATTTAAGTTCTATTTTATTATACACGTGTTTCTACCTCCTGCACTTTACACTTTCATTTTACTATTGATTAATTAGTTAATTAAATTGTCATTTCAAACCCTCCCCCCCCCCACAATCGTTGCATAATTCCCGAAATGCAACTCGTGTTTGCCAACTTTTCAATCAACGAATCGCGTACGTTGAACTATGCGTTAGATTACAAGTTGTTCGTTTCATCGCGAAATGATTAATCTGCATATA